CATAATCTGTGTTCATCATAGATGTCAAGGAATGTTATTGAGTGAATGCGTGTAAAGAAATTGCACTGATCATTTTTGCTGTTAGGCAGTTATCTCTAACAATCAAATATAAAGGGCAATGTTTACTTCTAATTTGAAAAATCCAAAGGATTTTCCCAGAAGCCTTTCCAAGAAACTTTCATCACATTGCAACTGGTCTTCTGATAAATCAGGAGAAATGAAGTTCACCTGAGTTACTCAAGTAACTGTGGGTGAAGGATGGTCAAGTGAGAAGAACATTTCAGATCAATCTTTTTATTACTGAATTTCACTTTAAAAAATGCGAGCATTACTTCATGTTGTGCAAAATCTTCAAAGGAAGGCTAAAGGGCTGATGGTCAAGTTTTTTTTTCTTTCTTTGTCAAAAAGAGAAAAATGAATATTGTTATTTGAGAGAAAACTGGAGAAACCACAAGCCAGTTGTCTGGTTAGTGACACTTTATTTCTCAGCACGAAATGTCACACAAATCCTATATCCTGTTCAGTGCAAGGAATTGTTATTCATCACGCACAGGGCAGCATTTTGAATTCATCTATGTGAGTTTCATCGCCTTGTGTTCATAATACCTATAGTTTGGAGGCTCTGACTTCATTCTCCAGAGCAACGAGGAGACCTCACAGATGGCCATCTGCACACATAAGATTTTGTGCAAGAGTCAAGATTTGGTCCCGAGAGAAGGGCAAATAAGAATAAAGAACAAAACAAAACACAAAATCACAACAAAACTTAAAGAAAGGGAAAAATATTCAATTAAAAACAACAACAACAACAACAAACCAGAGAGCAACCTATGAATCCAGCAAGAAAATGCATAACACCATTTTCATGATTAGGGTTCCTTTTCTCTCTACCCTCAATCAAGTCAGCCAATGTAAGTTTCCTTTCCCATTTAATCCCCAAGAGGCACTTTGTGTGTCCAGGAAAAGCGCCAAGTTGAATCGTTCAGAAGATCTGTTTATTCCTCACAGAAATACTGCCCAAGAGACCACTTTTGTTCTTGCTCCGATTTCTCTCCCCCTCTTACAGAGACTGGTCTGAAAATCTGCAAACCGAAGGCTTAAATGCGATGTCCAGAAAGTGCAAAGAATGGGGACTGGGCAGCTGCATCCTGGCGTGGGGTGAGGATCCTCGAGAGGTGGTGCAGAGGGGGATGCACTCCAGCAAAATGGGGAGGAAGTTGAGTACCTGGGCCCTGCTCCCAGGACGAAAAGCTGTGCAGAGCCCACCTGACACCACTCAAGCTTACAGGAGGGAGGGCACTGTCCTTTATTTTATTTTCCAGTTTAGAGGAACAAGCCACTTACTCTCACATTGCAGCTCCAGATCGATCGTATGTTTCCTGATTAGCTCTCTTTTATTACACATTTCCTAAACTTCAAATTCATACATCTAAATGCTGAACTCATCCTCCTCTTCCCTAAACGTGCTCCTTCTCCGGCCATCTTCCCTGTCTCATTTAGGGTATCGATACCCCCCGAACCCCAACCACACAGGCTAAAAACTGAGAAACCGTCTCATCACTACACTCTCTTCAACCTCCCCTCCTACCCTAGGTATCTCCTAACTATTTCTCAGTTCCCCACGTCAACCATCTCTTTTTCCATTGCTAGTTCACCATTTCATCCTGTAAAGCACTCTTTGGTGTGTAACAGACACTTAAATGATACTTGGGTTTGATTGAACAGAAAAGGATCTCCCCATCCGTTTACTATAGGATGAATGGCTACCAGATTCTTCAGAGGTGGGATGAAGAGGGAAACTAAAACAGGATTTCATGAGATGCCTGGGAGGAAGGAGTGATGAAAGGGCAAGAATCCAGATTTCCTCTGCTCTCGTCAGCCTATCACTGAAGTACATCTCAAAGTTGACTGACCCTCTGTCCTGTCTAAACAATCCTTTTGGAGCTAGGCTCTGCCCATGGATTAATAGCCAACAATCTCATAATCTATGGGTTGCAAGGGTGCTTTTCAAAATCCCCAGTTGCCTGGAATCCTGTTGACATGCAGACTATAATTCAGGAGGTTTGGGGGCAGCCTGAGTACCATTTCTAATAAGTTCCCAGTGATGCTGAGGCCTCTGGGTGGCAAGGGCTCAGGTAACCTCTTTCTGAGTAAAAATCTCACTGCAGCAAACTCTAGCTCTATTAATACTGAAACACTGAAAGTGGATCAAGGCTCTGCAAGCCTCTGGGTTATGTAGTTTGGCTTCGTAACACAAGAACTTTCACACCAATGAGGAAAGGCTCTCTGGAACTTAGAAACTCTTGGCTAAGGCCTCTGCAGGCTGCAGAAGTCATGCTTAGCCGAGGATTTAGAGAATTTCAGGACAAGACATTTACAAAGGTGGGGCCTGCTTAGACAATCTAACAAGGATCTAGAGGCAGATGGGGCCAGCAGAGCGGGAAGCCACTCCCACCCCTGGCCTGCAGTGATGGGGAAATGGTGAAACCTGGGGCCATTGAGGGGGCCACTCTGCCAAGCCATATCAAAGGAGACCCCCAGCCATGGCAGAACCAGGTGCTCTCACAAGGAGGAAGAGGTGGGGGAGACACCCCGAACTCGTTCCCCCTCCATGGTGACTAGGGCTGGCCAGCTCCAACAGGAAGAGTGAGGGGAAGGGAGCCCGTGATGCAGTCCACTGCAGGTGGGGTTCAGGTGTCCAGGGAGCAGAGCAGGTCAGAAAAGGGCGGGAAGTGAACATGGGCCGGTGAGCGGAAAACAGTCAGATCATCAGCCCTTAACCATAAACACTAGACACTGGATGGAGAGTTCTCACCCTCTTTGCAGAAATGCGTGACTATTTTAAACCATGTCATCCCTGAGGGCAGAGTGGGGAGAGGGCCACTCTTGAAAGGGTCTGTTGGATGCCTTGGCAGCCAAGGCGAGGCCAGGCGTAACAGGAAGCAAACAAGAGGTGTGGTGGCCGCCTCAGCCTCGTCCCCTTCCCTGTCTCTTTTGGCTGCAGACGCCACACGGAGACTCTGACCTCAAACTCCCGCTTCATCCTGCGAGTCAAGTCTTTTGAAAGACCCTGGGCAAACATGTACTGGTTCAGACACATTCTAAGTCAAATTGCTGGCTTTTCCAAGTAAATTCCTGCTTTCTTTTCCCCGGAGCACTTTCGTTCTAAGAAAGTATAAATAGGAGGAAACGGCTTCCCCACGCTAAGACCTCCTCCAGATGCACTGAAAACCCAGTGAAGGGAGCCAGAGCCAGGGTGAACGGATTATGGGAAAAGACACAGGACGTTTGGATGAGAATGTGAGCCTTCGAGTTCATCCTCTGCAGAACCAGAGAATGCAAACTGCTGAGGCTGGGCACATCCAGTTTAAGAGGAAAAAGGACATCTCTGACCTCATTGCCTCAGAAAAGCTCAAAAGGTCACATTTCCGGCTTGGAGCCAAGCCCTCCTTTGGCTTTTCCTTCCTATGCACCAAATTTCAGAAGTCACTGTGTTGCTGGATTTCCTTTGGTAACAGAAAGAACAGTCATTACTGTTGAATGCAAGGAACTGATCTGACCTAGAGTCAATGATTTCTTCCTGCAAGTGACAAAGCCCGTTTCCTCCAGCTGATAATGGACCTCTGCAAAGGCACTGAACATGCGTGTCCAAAAGCAAATCCTCCAGAGCAAGGACGCAGTCCTGTACCTTTTTTCAATCAAAAGTGAAGAATTATATTTTAAAACAATTTTTTTCTATTGTGGGAAAATATCCATGACATAAAATTTACCATTTTAACCATTTTTAAGTGTATAATTCAGTGGCATTATGTACATTAAGAATTACATTTTTAAAATAAGTAGCTATAAATAGGTCCCCTGTCTCTCTGAAGAATATATTCATAAGGGCAATAAATAAAGAGCTACAGTTTTCATTCTCAAGAAGAATGGAAAAGTGTGATACTTCTATTAATTATAAGAATAGGACAAGGGGAAAAAAATCCTACATCCTTCTTTTCCAGGTAGGGAAGGTGAGCTAGGGTATCAAGGGGACCTCCACTCATCTCTCAGTTTCAGGGAAGTTCCCTCAGTATTTGCTGGATATACCATCTGCCTGGCCAGTAGGCCTGTCCTGGGCTCTTACCACTTGCAAGATTCATCGATAGAAAGTACATCTTCCTGCACATGCAGAAAAGATATTCCCCCATCCCACAAAGAGGAGTGTGGTTTAGGGGAAAACTGCACTATGTCCTGGAAGAGCTAGGCTTTAGAATCAGAAAGATTTGGTTTGAGTATCAGCTCTGCTGCTTCTGGTATCGTGGCAAGCTACTTAAGCACTTTGCACCAGTTTTCTCATCTGTAAAATGAGGATTAATATGAGTATCTACTTCTTAGGGTAGTTATAAGGTGTAAATTGGATAAGAGAATTAGCCAGAACGTGATAGGTTCTGCTGCAACAACAAATGAACCCCAATATTTCAGTGGTTTAACCTGACAAAAGTTTACTTCTTGCTCATGTCACAGCCTGAGGTGGGGCAGGTGGCTTTCCTCCAAGGGTGATCAAAGATCTAGGGTGTTTCCAAATAGCACCTCTGACATCATGGAGGTCTTTGCTTTCTGATGAATGGAGAACCCACATTGGCTCTTTACACCCTTGGTCTCAAAGTAACTATGTTCTTTCTGGTTATAGTCCTTTGAAAATTAGCATGTGTATCAGCCAGAATCCTAAGAAATACCAAACAACCAAACAAACCAAAAAAAACAGATGGCGCACTCTAAAGGGCAACCTATTTAACGGATTATTTACAGAAGTGTAAGCAGGATTAAGAGAAACCACAAGGGATAGTGAGACACCCCAGGACTGTCAACAACTCGGTGCAAGTCCTCAATTTTCAGTACCTGAAACTCAGGGAGAGGATGAGAGATAGGAGGCTGGGAATAAATAACCTAATCTCCCTTCTCTCCTCTTGTCCTTCTAAATCTGGCTGTTGCCCTCCCAGTGGTCAAACTCAACTACAAACCAGAAGTCAGAGGATCCTGGGGATGCCATCCACATGAGGTCAGCTTCCTCGGGTCCAGAGCAGAGTGGAAAATGGATCTGGAGCTGCAGATGGAGAACTCTCAGCACAACGTGCAGAAGGCTTAGCAATGTGCTGAGCACAGAATTGGCACTGAAAAAAAAATAAATGAGCGAAATTAAGAAAACACAAAGAAATACATTTAAAAATAGTTTATGTTTATTGAAATCTTCACAGTTAACGTTACCCCTGACAAAGAGAAATTCACACTGGCTAAGGAGAATTTTTATCTCCACAACACAGATTTTTCAACAAGGGCTCAGTGTCCAAAGCTGGGCTGTCCTTTCTCTCTCCTAAAAGATGAATTTCACAGGAAGAATGGCGTTTTGTTTGCAAGGCGAGAAACATTGATAGCTCCGCCCTCAAGAAGTGTATCTGTGCAGCCAGCAATTACAACCTAAGTTAGGTCGAATGGCACAGCTACACTGATAACTGCCGTTACTGTTTCACTCTTTCACTTGCCAACAAAATCCTCTGGTCCCTTATCTTGTACTGGGGCCAACCTAACAAGATCGAGAGAAGCTGAAATTCTGACACTTCAAAGCGCAGGACGTTGTGAACAAGCTGGCGCGTTGTTTGTGTTGGGTTTTGTGAAATAATAGGCTGGGTTCAGTGCCAGAAAAAAGCCTTGGAGCGGAGTGTTCGATGTGTACTCACATGTAGTTTCTCATCCTGCACGTACGTGAAATGATCTTTTCCCAAGGATCAAATTCATTTCTTGTTGCTTTCCTACAACTGAGTATTTTGATGTCAGAAACTCAGGGACATTCTGAATCTGAAGGACATTTAGAAATAATTCTCCCCAACCTCCTCACACACCATCAATGCTTTGGGGAGTTGGGGGCTCAGCGTCTCCTTGAACCCCTTCAGTGACGGGACGCTTCCTGATGCCAGCAGCACCTATGCAGGTGCTTTGAGTCAGGTATGGAGCTTCGGCGGTGTTACCTCATTTTGTCCTCACGACTCTCTGCTATCATTAGCTCCACATCCCAAATCAGGAAACCAAAGCAGAGAAGTAATGTGCTCAAGCATACACAGCTGAACCACACTGAAGCAGGAGTTCAAACACAGGTCTGTTTTTCTCCAAATCCCAAGCTCTTCTCCACTGGGATCTCCCAGAACCTTTCAGGACAACCCATTCCCACTGGGAACTCTCAGAAATATTCTAACCTGTCGCCCTCATAATTTTAGCTAAGCACTGTTAAGTTTTACATGACATAAAAAAATGGGAATAAAAAAAAAGATTTGCGATCATTTACATTTTGTACTGCTCTACTGTTTATAAAGCGTGTCAATCGTTTCACCCGAGCCTCGCAACAGTTCTGTGAGATAGCTGTTGAGATCTCTAGTTTACCTGTTAGAAAGCTGAGTTTCAGAGCGCCTGCTCGTGGTACGTGTCCAGGAGGGTGGTGGAGCTAGGAGCAGAGCCCAGTTCCTTCAGATCTGGGTCCTATGCTTCATACACTATGCGATGCTATTTGCAGCAAAAGGTGAGACGAGGAGGAATCGCTCTCGCCCTGGGTTCCATGCTACTTCCTGTCTCGTGCCAGTGCACTGAGGCCTTCTGAACTGTTGCATTTAAGACGTTCAGTCTTCCTAACAAATCCGCCTCATGCCTGCTCCTTGGATCTGAATGCTACTGAGAAACTGTCTCCATCAACTTCACTACCTGACCTTGGCCCAAACTAGTCCTGGCCCTGCCCCATCAACAGTGTTTCTGGGGCTGTATCTTTGGGACACTGAGCAGATCCGACGGGCTGCAATCTAGGGCCACAGTGGTACAATGATGCTTGTATTTGGTCCATAGGATGCCAAACAGCTGCTTCTAAATATCCAGATGTTTGGCATCATTTAGAACAAACCTTTGATTCATTGGCCAAATATCCCACTGTCATCTAATTAATGTTTTGTTATCCTGCAGACACTAGGTTTGCTTAGAAGTGATTAGATTTTAATGTTTCAGCTTCCAAAAAGTATCCCACAACAAAAGCCCTCCCCCACACCATTTCCCAGTGTATAAATCTTTCTTTGTTGCTTGCCAATCTGACAAAGAGAAAAAAGTCCCCCGCATTTTACAAACTCTTTAATCAGCTAAACACATCTGCATCAAAGACCGATATGTTCTTCCGATGAGAAAAAAGAAAATGTTGGTTTTCCCTGGTGTGATGCAGCCCAAACCAATGTAAGAAAGACACATTTTAACCTCATTTACTGTCTTTGGTTTTACTTATTTTTTTGTTGAGGTGTAATTGACATATCACATTATATTAGTTTTAGGTGTGCAATGCAATGATCAGATATTTATATGTTTACAAAATGATCACTACAATAAGTCTAGTTAACATCCATCACCACACGTAGCTACAAGACTTTTTTTTTCTTGTGATGGGAACTTTTAAGATTTGCTCTCTTAGCAACTTTCAAATGTCTTTGGTCTTATACCCTGTACTTTACATAAACTATTCATTGAAAATTATTTCACTGTTCTTCCTAATTGTTTTTCTCTTACCTGGCTACCTGGAAACATATTTTCCAGATAATTTGCAATGAGTACTTGAAGTGGTCTGTAGTGAACAAGATCTCAAAGCTTTCTCTCCAGAAGAGGTGACAACTGTCTCCTCCTTAAGAGATCCTAGATATACCCTAAGTGTCTTTACTCTCCTTCGGAGCAATTAACTTACTGCTACTCAAATTACTAATAGTATCTACTTTGTATTAAGCTATCACTACAATTGTCAGACTCTGTGCTAAGTGCTTTAAAGACATGACTCATGTAATTCTATCAAGAAGCCTAGTGGGTATATACCATTAAGAGCACCAATTTGTACATTAGGACACTGCAGCTCAGAGAGGGTCATCAATTTGTTCAAGGTCACACAGCTACCGGGCATCAGAGCTGGGACTCTGAACCCCAACCTACCTCCTCCAGAGCCCATATGCTTAACCCCTTACTCTTCTGCTTTCAAAGTGACTGTTTTCAAACACAGGATGGAATCCACTAGCTCAGAGTACGAGGCCCAGCCCAGGATGGCCCTTCCCTGACTTTCTGCTTCCTGCCTTCCTGTTCCCCTGAGGACTCCTGTTCCTCCTGCACCCTGAGGTTCAACCCCACAGATTGCAAATCCTCCCCCAATAATACCATACTTTTTTTTACTCCTCTTTTCATTTGCATGCCCTGCACTCCCCACATGGAGCACGGACACCCCCAAAGCTGATGTCCACATGCTCAACATCTTTCCATGGGAAAATCTCCACTCATCCAGCGAAGATCATTCAAAAGTTAAAGCCTTCCTGAGGTCCACCTGACCCCGGACGGGCTCCCCTCTTCTTTGATTACCATATCATCCTTGCTTACCAGTTCCTAACACATTTATCATTCTGGGAGTGCTGGTCACGTGTTTTGAAATAATTTATTTCCCTGTCTGGTTCTCACATCAGCCAGGGAGCTTCTTGAGGAGATGGCTGATTTCATCCCTGTGTCTCCAGGGCCTGGCGCAGTAGGCTCTCAGTTGTTTACTGAATACATGAGGAACTGAATGGGCATAAGTTACGATGATGTGTGAGTGATTACTAACGTTTATTTAATACCTCCATGGAATTCGAACTGCTCGAAATTTGTGCTTCTATAATTTTCCTAGGACAGAGCTCAATTTTTGTCTTCACAAACCTCTGGGCAGAGAGTTTCTGCTTTTGCTTTCTGTACAGACTCTGAAATTAGCCTTTAATGAGAGAGAAAGGTAGAGACGCAAAGAGAGGGAGAGAGGGAGGGAGGAGAGGGAAAAAGAGCTCTTTTTCTCTGCATCTCAGTCCCCAAGTCTTCGGTAAGTTTAGATTAACTCGGTCCTGACTCTAGAAGGATCACCACCAATAATCACATTATTCTAACACTTCTAACACAGCTGCTCCCGTAACAACCCTGTCACTGGAAGAATCAATTGCATTAAATGAGTGGGGGTGGGGTACAAAGCAGAGAAAACAACAGATGTCCGCTACAGTCTGCTGACATGAAGGGCTGAAAAACAATCTCTTACCAGGGTTAGCAAAAACTTGTTTATGCAGTCATCCCTCTTAATGTTTTGGAGATTTTAATAAGTGCTTCTTAAAGACCAAAAGGTCACCCAAACTCAGAGAAATGCCTCTCTAATAGAAGTATTACAGGCCCTGATGGATGAGATATTTAGGGGCATAAAAGGCTTCTCAGAGTCTTCAAATTGCCCCATGTAGGGAGCTGTGAAGTTCCTTTCATAAAGCAGAGCGCTCTGCTTATTGACATGGATATCTGAGTCACTGGTAGAAATTATTGGGCAGTTAGGTTCTAAAAGTAAAAATCTGTCAGCACCAACATCAGCAAAGCAAACGGAATCTAGACCCCTGGAAGCAGTGGGCTCGTCATTGCCAGTGACTCCAGGTTCTATTCGAGAAAGGATTACTTAATGTCTCTGAGCCTCTCTTTCCCAACTGTAAAAAAGAAAATAAATAACAAAGCCATCCTAAGCCATCGTCATTGACTTGCTAGGAGGGTCAAATGAAACAAAGTGTAGAAAGCCTCAAGTTATACAAATGTTACTTACTTGTGTTATTTTAGGGACAAACAGAAAATAATGGAGGGAGAAGGGTACAGCTCAGTGGTAAAGTATGTGCTTAGCATGCATGAGGTCCTGGTTCAATCCCCAGTACCTCCATTAAGTTTTTTTAAAAAATTAATTTAAAAAGAGAAAATGATGGAAGTACTCACTTAGAAGGGACTAGCAAATCAGCTTTGTGTAACTACTCATACTCTGGCATTAAATTTTTTTTGCAATAATTAAAATGGAAACAGCAAAATAATCATGGGGAAATGACTGGTACAAGTTAGACAAAGACTATTAATGTTGTATTTTTCTACTGTGATTTTATAAACAATATAAATGCATGTGAAAAAGAACTAGAAAGGGAGTTCAAATAAAAACAATTTGGTTTTTTGGAGGAGGTAGAGTTGGGTGAATTTTTTTTCTTCTACTTTAATTTCTCTGTTAGTGATATCTATGTTTGAAATTAATTTTTTTAAGTTTTTCTTTAAAATGGAAAAAAGAAACTGTTTCTTCCCT